TTTGACAATAAATTTCATATATTAAAAAAAAATAATAAAAAAAATAAAAAGAGAAATTTACAAAATAATAATTCCAATTATTGTAAGGGTTACAGACACTGAAGTTCTCTATTTAGCTTTAGTCTTCTTTTTTATGCAGATGGTGAGTCAGTAGCCAAATATTTACATATAACATGCCAAACATACCCTTCCAAGTGCTGGACAAAATGATGTTTAAGACAGAGCCTTTGCCTTCAAGAAACTTATATTCTAGTGCTGGCGGTGGCAGAATAAATAAATGGCTAATATAAAAGCAAAAAAATTCTATATAGTAGTAAGAACTGTAGAGAAAATAAAATAGGTAGCAAAAGACTTAGGGGGCTGCTCTAGCAAGGAATTTAATTTTTGTATTTCACTTCGAAAAGATAGAAAATATGATAAAGACATTAATTTCTGGAACCTTTAAGGCTCTACAGGAAGAAGAAAATCCAAAATTGATACAAAGTGACATTAGGTCACATTAAAAAAGTTTTGTGTTTAAAGGACAGACAATGGTAGTGCATAAAAAGGAGGGAAAATCATGACATGAATTATAACTAAACAACTATATAACAATGGAAAAGTTAAAAGTCTGCCAACAGGAAGACTGAAAAGAAGAAATATTAACAAGGTACAGGAATAGATTGAGTATAATTCAAAGTTACATAGGAACATTTCAGTAGGATTTGCTGATAGATAAAATAAAGAAAAAATATAGAAAAATCAGCAATAAATTACAAAAGTAATGAATTACAAAAGTTATGGTCTTAACGGAAATATACTCTGTCATGACTAATGAGTTTGGGGAATGAAAGACAATAATACACTTCCACAAAAAGAAGCCAGGTTGAAGTGATAGTTATAGACTGCAAATTAGGACTGTTTCCTTTTTGCTTTCTGAAATTTAAGTTAAATAAAATAAAATGCATATGAGTGAAGAGAGTCACTCCTGTTGAGATATTCTGCATGCAATGATACTCTGTATTAACTGCTCCAAATTAGCAACCATAATGCTTCCTCTGGAAATACAATAAGCCAAATACCGGTTACCATTATTCCTTGAACTATCTCTTTCCCTCAGAGTACAGCAAGAGTGATGAGAAATAATGTGGGTAACACGGAATGAAAAAGACCAAAGTAGAGATTAAAGGGAAACAATAGTAATATAGAAAAATTAAGTCTACCATTTATTTGGCAGAGAAACATCTTCTTCATTGTAACCAAAATCTATTAGGGGTTTCTAAGCATGTATAGCAAGATTATGAAAATCATGGAGTCTAAACAGAAGTTATCACTTTGGGTTTTACTAGAGGCTAAGAAAGGAAAGGAAAAAGTGAGATACAGTAATTTACCAGAGAAGAATTAACTCCTATTCCAATACCCAAGTAATCTGTATAGTTTTTAATTTAAAGGTGGCACGAGAGAGGGAGTCTACATGCCTCAAGAGTGGGTCTAGAGGTGTGGGTTCTAAAGTTTTAATGTGCAAAATATTTACTTGCTGAACTTGCAACAACCAGCAGATTCCGGAGTCCCAATTCCAAACAGGACACAGGGATCTACATTAACAAGCACTTTAATGTGATTCTGGTGCAGGTGGTCGTTGCAGACCATACACCGACAGTATACAAAGAGTCTGTGCCTCTATAATGTAACAAATTTAGTCCCCATATTAAAAACATATATAGAAGTTAATAGACAAGTCGAGGTATTAGAGGAAAAGAGAAAATAAGTTTCAGTACTATCAATTTCATCTCCTTAATCTCTATTACGTGTGTGTGTGTGTGTGTGTGTGTGTCTTTTGTAGTCACACACAATTAAGTACACAATTAAGTAGTAAGTCTCTTTCCTGTCACTTAACATTTTAAAAATGAATCTTCTTAGGGGCGCCTGGGTGGCGCAGTCGGTTAAGCGTCCGACTTCAGCCAGGTCACGATCTCGCGGTCCGTGAGTTCGAGCCCCGCGTCGGGCTCTGGGCTGATGGCTCGGAGCCTGGAGCCTGTTTCCAATTCTGTGTCTCCCTCTCTCTCTGCCCCTCCCCCGTTCATGCTCTGTCTCTCTCTGTCCCAAAAATAAATAAACGTTGAAAAAAAAAATAAAAAAAAAAAATTTAAAAAAAAAATAAAAATGAATCTTCTTAGGTTATCAAAAAGTGATCAGAAAAGAGCTTATTAACCACCATTCGCACCCTATTCCAAGCTAGGGAAGCTTTTAAGAATCCTCTCCTTGAACTTTCATTTCATTGTATACTTCTTTCTTTCAATAACAAAACAAATTCAAGGCTATTATGTACCAGACATAGTTGCTCTAGTCTCTGGGGATACAAGGGTATGACGGCAACTCTGCCCTAGTGGTAACAGGGAGAACAGAATCAACAAACAATATAATTAGGTGTTTTTAGTGATGTATACCACAAGTAAAATAGGATTCTTGGATTGATTGTGTGTGCTGGGGGTGAGGATGGGCATAAAGATTTAGATGCAGTTACCAGGTAAGACCGTTTTGAGCTGAGACCTAAATGGAGAGTGAGAGACACTCACATGAAGATAAAAGTAGAGCCTTTCAACACAGGGGAAAGACCAAAGGCAACAGCCATGAAATAAGTTTGATATGTTCAAAGACTTGGAAAGGTCAGCTATCAGTTATAGCACAGGGAGCCAGAGAGAGAAAGAGCCACAGGAAACAAGGTTGAATGGACTGGCAGGGGTCAGATTATATGGGGTCTTATAAGACTTGACAAGGATTTTAGTCTGAGGGGGATAGGAAACACTGGAAGGAGTGATAACATAAAATTATTTTAAAACCACAAAAACTCACTTATGTTTTTAAGAAGACTGTCTGCATGTAAAAAGTAGCTTGTTACTGACTTGTAATAGCAGGAGTGGAACTTATTTAAACTTGAATTGTTTTATTTTTTTTCCCCCCAACAAGCTGTATATGTATTTTAGTCTGTGACTTATATTGTTTAATTTGAAATATCTACATTTATTCTAAATAATCACACATTCTATATGAGGGAATTGGACTTAATGATTGTCAGTGAACACTACTGACATAGCAACCCCCAGAAGGAATTATCGAAATTAGCTGAAGAACATTTTTTCAAAGTACACATGAAAAAGGTTACCGAAGCAATGTTTAAAAAGCTTTTAAAAAGGAAAAACACTAGGCAAAAAATATATATAAGATTTTCTTCCTTAGTTCCAATGTCCTTCATTCCCATTTTACTTGACAACCTACTACCACAAATTCATGCCAGACAATGACTTACCCAGAGGCAGAAGCGCTCTTTTTCTGAAATTTTAAGTTCTAGTATCCCTCACTTTGATAACCAACCTCTCTCTAGTGTCATTTCAACATAGATGCCTACAGACACCACCACGGTACCTCAGAATCCAACACTTTATACCATTAAAAAAGTGCCCCTGTAAGTTTTTACTACTTGCTACAGGAAATATTTTTTACTTTAATAGCACTGATTTTGCTTAGAAATGTCGATGTAGATTCCTTACTAAAGCTAAGGACAGAATCTATTTCATATGTATGCTGCTAAAGTCTTGCTCAATGCCTTGTATACTGTGGAAGCACTGGAGAGTACAGATGTTACTAGATTT